GATAATTGAAATTGAAAGTCCTAATCTATTTTTTTTTTCTAAAATTTAAAATTGTTAAAATGCATATGTTGCAATATAGATTTTATTTATGGGAAGTTAAAAAATAAAATTTAAAATATAGCTATACAAAACCATGTCCTTTTAAATATAGCCATATTTATAATTAATTTCAATATATCTATTACCTATCCTACTTATATTATTATATAAATAAAAATTTTGTACGATAATTGAAATTGAAAGTCCTAATCTATTTTTTTTTTCTAAAATTTAAAATTGTTAAAATGCATATGTTGCAATATCATTAATTTCTTCATATTATAAATTTTATTTTAAATCTTATATGATTTGTTCAATGACTAATATTCAATTTTTGTACACAAATTGTAATATATTCCTTCCAAAAGTTAATATAGCAAGTCTACAAAATCATATTTTAAAACTCAAAATTATTAATATTTTTGTTTATTTTTATTTTTGTTTTAAATAAGCATGTTAAAGTATAATTAGATATCCAAATAAAATTATACTTATTAATAATTATGGCATTAATTTTAATTGTAATCACATCTTTTTAAAGTTCTATTTAATTTTTTAACTTTTTTTTGATATTTTAAAGTACATGTTACGATGATTCTCTCTTACTGATTAAGTTTTTTAAAATTTCTTTAATTATTTCCCTTTCAAAAACTAATATGACAATTTTTTAAAAATCATATATTTTTATTCTAAAATAGTGAAGTATTACAACCATGTCATTTTTTTTATAATAAAGCATAATTTTAATTATTAATTGTCAATACAACAATTTTAATCTATCTATACTATATATTATAGTAAAGAAACATTTGAAACAAAACTCTTAAATTTATATATAAAATTTTATTTACGAGAGACAAAATACAAAAAAATTAAATATAATTATCATATTTTTGAAAAATAATATATTATTTTATTTCGTGCATAACATAGGTGACATGGTAGTTATCTATAATGACAAATTCCATTATTTGATATGTATGGCCTAAATTATTTTTTCTATTGATTATATCTTAAAGGAATTTTTTTTTTAGAGTCCCTGGTATTAAGATTTTATAGCATAAGGATGTCCAATATTTTCATAATGTCTAAGGTCCCACAACATTGATCCAGATAAAATTCAATCCAGAGAATTTCTTTAGGCTTTTTGTAACAACCCCAACCCATGATTAACGTTAGTCCATGTTTAATTATGCTTAACAAGTAATTAAAGTGAAATTTTGCATCATATGTTGCCTTATGTGTGTTTATATCTGTTTAATGTAGAAAGATCTGTTCATGTTTTCGTTTCGATTTGCGAATTGAAGGCCTTATCAGCATCCGATTCAGAAATTGACTTGATTTATGCGTTAATTGAAATTTTTAGAATTTTATAGTAGGTTTAATTGAAATTCGATTCGGAACGATTAAATTAGAATAATTAATGCTCAATTAAGCCTAACTAATGAAATTTTGATCTAAGCCTATATAAGGCACCTTTCATACCCCACTCATTCTTTTCCTTCATTTTATATACATCTTTGAGCTCACAAACACACACAAACGTGAGAGAGAGAGAGAGAGAGAGAGAGAGAGAGTGTGTGTGTGTGTGTGTGTGGAAGATTTGGTTCTAAGCTTGAGAATCTTGTGAGACTTGAGCTCAATTAAAAGGAATTGCTAGAAAAGAGAAGGTTTTGAAGAGAACTTGGAAAACTAAGCTGTTACACTTGAGAATTCAAGGCTTGAGGTAGATATTCACTCATTTAGTTGTATATTTGTAGTCTTTAATGCATGAATTCAAGAGAGTTAGTTAATTAAGCCAAGAATTAAGCTTAGGAAAAAGAATTAAGAAAATAGCCATACTTGCATGGAAATTCTTTTGCATTTAAAGCTTGATTTTGAGGAAGTCTCACATGCATGCATTGATCATGGCTTAATTTTGGAAGTTCATCATATTTTACATGTTTTTACCGCATTTGATTATGGTTTGGAAGATTAAAACTCATACTATTACATGTAAGTCTTATTTTCAACATTTCAAGTTTGGGTTTTGTATCATTGACAAGTTTTTAGGCATAGATTTTACAAAATGATTTAGAATTCTCACATTTTTCAAGTTTACATATGATTTCTCAATTTTTTGGCCCAAAATGAAGAGTTTGTAGTGTTTGAATTGAGTTTGGAAGCTTGGAGATAAATCTGTAAATTCCAGAATTCGACCTCCACACTCAGGTGACAAATCCTGCGTTTGAGCGACCACCTTTATTTTTACACTTCTACTCGAGCGATCAAAAGTTTGCTCGAGCGTAAAATGCATGCTCCCAGAAGTTTGCGTATTTTGCAGACCGCTCGAGCGATGACATGTCTCTCACGCTCGAGCGAGCGTCGAACGAAAAAAATCAAGCAACCAGCATTTTTGCAAAAGTTTACAGACCGCTCGAGCGACAGATCTTGCGCTCGAGCAACCACTCTCGTTTTGCATGTCCGCTTGAGCGTAGGAAGTTACACTCGAGCAAGGACCTTGTTTTCAACAAATTTTGTTAAGTATTTTCAAGTGCATTTTTGCGTCCTCATTCCATTATAGACATTCCTAGGCCAAGATTAAGACGCCATAATGAGAATAAAGAAGTAGAAACACACCAAGACAAGAAATAACTAAGTTGATAACTCTGGGTGTGTAATTCAGTACGTATCCGTTCTGTATCTGTGTAGGTCACGCGCCACGAGATATCTAAATTACCTACTCTGTCCTTTTACTTGGAGCCATTTGTTATCTGTGAATAATAACATAGTAAAGCTATGTTCAAGTTAAATTATTTTCTGCAAATGAAATAAGATCTGTTCTCTAAAATGCTATGTTTTGTACTATGAATGATTGTCCACTTTTGACAAATATTTGTGACATTAATGCTGTTATTTAAGTATGTTATCTGTACTTGAACTGGAGGTTCCTTATGGAACTGACAAGTTATCTGAACCTGGTTGGAGGTTTCTTTATGGAACTAACAAGTTATCCGTTCCCATTCCGGAGGTTCCTTATGGAACTGACAAGTTATTCGTACCTGGCCGGAGGTACTTCTATGGAACTGACAAGTATGATTTTTAATACTTTGTATGTAATCTGTTAGCACTAACGGATGGAGCTATGTATGATTAAGCATGTATTCTGATTTCTGTCAATGACTTAAACATGAATATGAATATAAATATATTCTATGTACAAACTTAGTTATGGGACATCATTCATTTAACCCTTTACTCTGTTATTATTCACTAGGCTCCCGCTCGCTATTTATATTATGTATGTAAGTGATCAGGCACGTGACCATGCTTAGAGTTGAGGACCTGACGCCTTAGTTTTTTTTTCAGCCAGCCTTTGTACCTCTCAAGGAGGTTTCGGGTTAAGTCAAGTTTAACGACTGTTTTTGTGAATGTATTAGGCTTAGTTTCTTTGATTTTCGATCAAGATTTATGTTAGTATGTACATGGAGTGACGAGTAAACACTGTAACTCTTGACGTCACTCGTAAGTTTATAAAAGTTTAAGATTATCTGTCACATGTATCTCTTCACAGCTCAACGGACTAAGTATATTTTATATGTTTACTTTCGCAGCACCTAACTATATATTGTTCTGTTAAGAGGCCTTTGGTTATCCAAGGATTACTGACCGGTTACGACGCTAAACCTATAGGGGCAGGTTTGGGTCGTGACACTTCTCAAAGAAATTCTCTGTAAAGAAATTCTGAGAATTTTATAATGTCTAAGGTCCCTCAACATTGATCAAGAGAAAATTCGATTAAACGAATTTCTCTCCAAAGAAATTCTTCCCAAAGTTCTCTATTGAGAAATTCTTTCCTAGAGAAATTATGAGAATTTCATAATACCTAAGGTCCCTCAATATCGATTCAAAGAAAATTCGATCCTAGAGTTCTCTTTAGAGAAATTCTTCCTCAGAGAAATTCTAGGAATTTCATAATGTCTAAGGTCTCTCAATATCGATCCAGAAAAAATTCGATCCAGAAAATTTCTTTCGACTTTCTATATAGTTTCTCTCTCTAAAAAAATTCTTCCCATAGTTCTCTTCTCTAGACTTCTCATTAAATTTCTTCTTAGAGAAAGAACCTCAAACTAGTTATTATTTTATTTTTTTTAAAATAAAAAAAATAAGTTATAAAAAATGAACCAAACATCACAAGATGGTAATGCTGTAAGTTCACAACATAGACAGCAAATCCGAATCCTTTTTGTCTAGAAAGCAAGGAAGGAGATTTGTACTGCCATTGAAACAAGGAAGGAGATTTGTACTGCATAATTTATTTGTCTAGAAAGCCATTGAAACAAGGAAGGAGATTTGTACTGCATAATTTATTTGTCTAGAAAGCAAATTAGTCCTTTTTGTAGCGCCCACTACAAGAAAATTGCTTTTTTGCGACGGTAAAATGCCATCACAAATACTCAAAACGCCGTCTCAAAAGGTTTTTTGCGACGGTAACTAGCCTTTTGCGACGGCAAGTGAGGGGTCGCAACAAAGGAGGTTGCAAAAGGGTTTTAGCGACGGTATAACGGCGTCGCAAAAAAAAGGCGACGGCAAAAATGCCTTTTTGCGACGGAAAAACGCTGTCGCCATTAACGCGTGAAAATCTAAGTTTTTTTGAGACGGCACTGTGTTGCTGTCGCTAAAAGGGTTATTTGCGACGGCACAAATACCGTCGCTAAAAGTACTATTGGCGACGGTAAATAACACCATCGCTAAAAATCTTCCTTTTCAACCAAATGCCCTATCTTGCTGTCGCAAAAAACCATGGTTCTATTTTTCTTTTTGAGACGATGTGTGTGCTGCCGTCTCAAAAAAAAAAGAACTGTAATAAAATTATTAAAAATATGAAAATGACCTGTATTAAATGAAAAATAACTAAAAAAATAAATCAATAGTTACATAATAATATAAAAAGTCCAGTATATAAATAAAAATTCATCCATAATTAAAATATTCTTCCATTCATAACAATACATCAACAAAATTATCTCAATACATAGTGTTGCATAATACATACATAATGTTGTTCACAAATTTAAATAACGTAAATTAAAAACAAAAGTTTTCGTCATGATTCTTCCGTGGGTTAATATTTTAATCTATACACGCCTGCATTCCACAAGAAGCAAACTGCTACTCCGGAAATATCTGAAAATAACAAAATAAAAATAATTAATGACAATATAATTGTGTTAATATTTTAATTACAGAAAAACATAAAAAATTAACTATTATATGTATAAAAAATTGGCAGAATAAGGATTCATACTTTTGTTACAGCCAAAGGTTCTAGGAATATTTATTTATTTATTTTTGACTCACGACTCTGATGGCATTAAAACTGATTGTTTTGAGGAAAGAACATTATGTCCTTACATGTCACAATTTATAGCAATTTCTTTTAACAAAGTGAGATATGGGTTGGCAAGAATTAGATCATGAATAGATTGCTTCCCATCTCTGTCTATCTTCTTCAGGTTTGGGTTTTCTTAGTTGGTGGATTATTAGGCTAAATCTCTTACATTGATAAATAGATGTTACTTTAATTAACTCAGGTTGAAGGAGCACCTTGTCAATGATGCTCTCTGTAACATCATCTGAAAGGTTCATACCAGATTCTGCAAGAGTTGCCACTACCATTTGCTTCACCTACATTTCGGAAGTCAATTAAAAATCTAAAACATTGAAAACATATGACAGATATTAAAGACAAATAACATGAACTATACTATGTCACATCTTTCTTATTGAAGGCTAAATCTACGAAAAGGGAACAAAGAGGAAAACAATTAAACCAAATGTCTTAACATCTAGTGTTCAACCATAGTATGCCCAGCACCGAAGTATATTGGCGAACTATAATTCCTTTCCATTGGCTTAGCTCAAACAAGAATTGCTCCAGTGCAAAATCACTCACATGAGAGTGACGTATGCTTATTCTATGTCACTCAAATTATTAGCCAACATAAAAAGTCGACACCCACTAGGTCCATAATGGTCTGATGCCTTCTCTGAATTATTTTCCTCTTGTACACCTTTTCTATTTCATTCAATCTTTGTTGCAAAGTAAACTTTTAACAAAACAACTAGTAAAAATACAACGATTATTTTATCCATTAAACCTACAGTTCCTACATTGTTTTTAAGGTTCCAACCCAAATAAAGAAATACAGCTTAGAAAAACGTTTGAGAATATATTCCCACCCAACAATGGTAGTTCATATTTTGGCTTTATAGTTTCTTACCTTAGTTGATATTTTTCTGTGTACGTATTGTCTCTATGTGAATTGTGCTCCATGGAAAAAAAACACATTGTGTCTTAGCACATGGAAAAGTTACTGAAACTTAAACAGCAAAGCAAACTTTTTTCAGCAATGCCTCTCAAGTCAAGTCACGGTTTATGGATTTTTCATGGGATAAGATATTGGTATCTATTAGCAATTCATATAATTCACTAGACCAAATAAGAAAACAATAGTGTAGATTTCAGTGATCATAGAGTATTAATTAAGACCAATGAAAAACAGAAAAGTGAAAATAATGGATGTAACACCCTGTATTTTGAGGTATTAATATTTAGTGAGTGGTATTGGTGATTTATTATTTTAATTTAGTGGTGAGATTTTTAGATAAAAAATTAATTTTAAATTATTTATTTGTATTTATCTCATCTCCTTTGTATCTATCATATTGTTATTTAATAAATCAATTTACAATTCCCCCATCATGTGAGAAGAATGTGGAAAAAAAAAAAATACAAATAAATTAAAATGCCTAGGAATGCCTAGGATGAGATGAGGATGCCTAAGATGAGATGAGGATGCAAGGATGCACTTTTAAAAGCATTTTCAGACTTTTCAGAAAACAGGGGTCACGCTCGAGCGTAGGTTAAACCGCTCGAGCGGACATGCAGACAAAGGTTTCCGCTCGAGCGTAGACTTACCCGCTCGAGCGTTCTGCAAAACAGTCAGAATGTGGAAAAAAAAAATACAAATAAATTAAAATGCCTAGGAATGCCTAGGATGAGATGAGGATGCAAGGATGCACTTTTAAAAGCATTTTCAGACTTTTCAGAAAACAGGGGTCACGCTCGAGCGTAGGTTAAACCGCTCGAGCGGACATGCAGACAAAGGTTTCCGCTCGAGCGTAGACTTACCCGCTCGAGCGTTCTGCAAAACAGTCAAAAGTGCTGGATAGGCGAAAATCACGCTCGATTGGGCGCTCGACACCCGCTCGAGCATGAGACACAAAGTCCCGCTCGAGTGTCACTTCTTCCGCTCGAGCTTCAAAACAGAACAAAATGCTGGGAGCACGATTTCCACGCTCGAGCGCCAGTCACCCCGCTCGAGCGTGAGTCCAAATTCTGAAAATTCCAAATTTGAACCTCAAGCTCAGAACTAAGTTTTAAACCATAAATTTCGATCGTCTTTGGCCAATTTTCCAGAAAACACATCAAAACTCATACTTTAACATGATTCTAAAGCTCAATTGTAAAATCAAAGCCCAAGGGTGTTTCAACTAAATCCAATTCAAACCAATTTCATGAATATGGAGAACATGCAAACGTGCATGGATTAAAACCACTTCAAAGCTTCAATTTCATGCTCTAATGAGCCAATTCTTTCAAAGACAAGATGAAAACATGGTCTATTGTAAAAATATGAGCATGCATTAGATAATTCTCCATGGAATCAACTCAAATTCAACAATTCAAACATGCATGCATGGAATGAGTTCCAATTCAACATTAATGAACCAATTCATGCCTTAATTCACTAAAAGCTCAAGAATTATGCAAGAATAAGTTCAAATACATAATAAAGAAGGTCAATGATCTACCTTAGGTCTTGGATTATGGGTCAATGTTGCTATCAACCTTCAATTCTACCAAGATTCAAGCCAATTCACAATGAAACAAGTTGAAATCAACTCTTCTAGCTTCTCTCTCTCTCTAAGGTCGGTTGTGTGCAAGAAATGGAAGAAGAAATGTTTTGTTTGAGTGTATGAGAAGATCAAAAAGGTTCAAGTAGGGGGCCACTTAAGTGGCAAAATGATAAATAAGGCCAACTATGCAATTTAACTCATTTTAATCTACTTTAATCATACCTAACCAGTTTTCAGATAATTATACCATAAAATCACGTAAATCGCGATGGTCATAAAACACTAATCGGTTTCCAGTTCGGCCGCCGATAAGGCCTTCAATTTGCAATTTAAACATAGAACACAAACAGATAATCAAACAATCAAACAGATAGACATACAATTGAACAGATATACTCAGTCAATTCAGTTTCAATTTCAGTCAGTCAGTTCAGTAGTTTATTCAGTTCACTTATCAGTCATAATCGGTTCAGTTTAACGGTAATCAGTGGTTAATCAGTAAACAATGACGAGGGTTGTTACAGTCTCCCCTCCTTAAAAGAGTTTAGTCCTCGAAACTCGAGTTACCTTCATTTTGGAAGAAAACAGGGTTCAGTGGAAACAGTTCAGGTTATCTTTTAGCCATGTCATCTTCCCTTTCCCAAGTGGCATACACGCCACCATGGTTTTGCCAGTCGACTTTCACTAGCGGGATCTCTTTATTTCTCAACTTCTTGATCCGTTTGTTTATAATCTGTATGGGCCGTTCCTCGTAAGTGTAGTCATCACTCAGCACTACACGAGTAGGCTCTATCACATGAAAAGGATCCCGGAGGTAGTCCCTCAACATAGATATGTGGAAGACGTTGTGCAGATGCTCCATTTCAAGAGGAAGCGCAACTTGATATGCCACCGGATTGATTTTCTCGATAATCTCGTACGGTCCGACAAATCTCGGCGCTAACTTGCCTTTGACTCCAAAACGAGTCTGGCCTTTCATCGGTGTCACTTTCACAAAAACGTGATCACCCACTTCATACTCTCTGTCTCGTCTTCTAACATCAGCATAACTCTTTTATCTGCTCCGCGCAGTTTTCAATCTCTGTTGTACTAGTTTCACTTTCTCAGTTGTTTCATAAACAATCTCAGGCCCAAGCAAAGGCCCATCTCCAACTTCTGCCCAACAAATCGAAGATCTGCATTTTCTGCCATACAGTGCCTCGAAAGGCGCCATGCCAATACTCGAATGATAGCTATTATTGTAGGCGAATTCAGCTAAGGGCAAATGGCTTTCTCAGTTTCCCTGAAAATCAAGGACACACATTCTCAATAAATCCTCCAGAGTCTGGATGGTCCTTTCTGACTGGCCATCGATCTGAGGATGATAAGCACTACTCAGTCTCAATTCAGTACCCAATGCAGTCTGTAAGCTTTGCCAAAATCTCGATGTAAACTTTGAATCCCTGTCAGAAATAATGGACACAGGCACTCCATGCAGTCTAACAATTTCATCAATGTAGAGTATAGCCAATTTTTCCGCATTATAAATTTTCTTAACAGGTAAGAAGTGAGCAGATTTAGTCAGTCTATCAACAATAACCCAAATTGAGTCCATACCTTTACTAGAGTGAGGTAATCCAACGATAAAATCCATGGTAATATGTTCCCATTTCCACTCTGGTATTGGTAAAGGCTGCAATAAGCCTGTGGGTCGTTGATGTTCGGCTTTGACTTATTGGCAATGAAGACATTTTGATACAAAATCGGCAATTTATTTCTTCATTCCCGGCCACCAGAAATTCAGTTTCAGATCTTGATACATTTTCGTATTCCCTGGATGGATAGAAAATTTTGAATTGTGGCCCTCTTGCAGAACTCTTCTTTTCAATTCAGAATCATTTGGTACACACAGTCTTTCTTGAAATTTCAATACATTACTTTCAAATTTGAAACCCGGTCTTGGTTTAGTTTCCCTTTCTTCGATGATCTTTTTCAAGAAGTCATCCAATTGCTGTTTCTCTTTAATCTCTTCAATCAGTGCCGGTTGAGCAGAAATAGCAGCTAAGGTTCCACCTTGTTCTCGTAAAACGATTTTAATTTCAGATTTTTCAAGGTCACAAAGTAATTCCTTCTGCCCGGTAAGCAAACAAGCTAAATTTCCAATCGATTTCCAGCTCAGTGCATCGGTAACGATGTTGGCTTTTCCGGGATGGTACAAAATCTGTAGGTCATAGTCTTTAATCAGTTCTAGCCATCTCCGCTGTCTCATGTTCTGTTCTTTCTGTGTGAAGAAATATTTCAGGCTCTTATGGTCGGTATATACTTCACATGTCGCCCCATAAAGGTAGTGACGCCAGATTTTTAGTGCAAATACTACTGCAGCAAGTTCCAGATCATGGGTCGGGTAGTTCTTTTCATGCGGTCTCAGTTGTCGGGAAGAATAAGCAATAACTCTCCCATTCTGCATTAAAACGCATCCCAAACCCTTATGAGAAGCATCACTAAATATGGTAAAACCATCCGTACCTGAAGGTAGGGTAAGAACCGGTGTAGTTACAAGTCGAGTTTTCAACTCTTGGAAAGCAGATTCCTTTTGGTCAATCCAGTCAAACGATATCCCCTTCTGAGTCAACTGAGTTAATGGTAAGGCAATTTTGAAGAAGTCTTTGACGAATCTTCTGTAATACCCGGCTAGTCCCAACAAGCTTCGAACTTCTGTCACATTTGTCGGTCTAGGCCAGTTTACTACAGCTTCAATTTTCTATGGATCAACAGAAATTCCATCTTTGCTAACAACATGCCCCAAAAACATAACATGATCAAGCCAAAATTCGCATTTGGACAGTTTAGCATAAAGTTTCTATTCTGTTAGGGTCTGCAGGGCAAGTCTTAGATGATGTTCATGTTCTTTTATACTTTTGGAGTAAATTAGTATGTCATCAATGAATACTACAATAAAGTCATCAAGGTATGGTTTAAAAATTCTGTTCATAAGGTCCATAAAGGCAGCAGGGGCATTCGTGACTCCAAAAGGCATAACCAAAAATTCATAATGTCCATACCTCGTTCTAAAAGCAGTTTTATCAATGTCATCTGATTTAACAAGCCAGTCCATTCCAATATTACATCAAAAATGGTCAAGTTGTTCAGAGGACAGTAAGTCAATAAGACAAATTGTGCATCA